AATATCTCACAACAGACGCAGTTGAATTCCATGGCTCAGTGTTCTAGAGGTTAATTGTTCGCGCACGAGACTGAAGGTCCTGGGTGGATGTGCACTGCTAAGGAGTCCTATGTTAGGACGAAATGACTTTCCAGTGCTTCCAGGTTTTCCATGGTGGTCTAGCTTTAATCGACTCATGAACTCAACTATTTTATACATAATAGCTAGTAACATGTCAGTACGGTTATATGGACATGGTTTCAGCAAATGTTTTTATTTACCTAACTGTTTTCTAATTTTAATCATCTTCCATGGAACCAATCTTCATCTCATTATAAAAAAAAAAGAAATTAAATTATAAATTACTTCCTCCAACTACTTTTTTTAATTGAAATCTATGTATGTAACTGTGAATAATGGCATATAACAATACTGTCATAGGAAAATATGAATCGATCTGGTTGAATGTAGTTTGTTTTAATAAACTAGATAACGTAATAAGAATAAATGAGTGGAATAAAGCACATCAATCCTTCTAACCACAATTACGAGAATAAAAATGATTTATTATATGAAAGACATAATCGTATAAATCGTTTATTTTAAGTCTGGATCATTCACCAAAAATCCAGGTGTATATAAAGTTGTAAGTGTAACTTGTTGAAACCTCAAGGAAAATATCCACTTAGAATCTATTTCAAAAATCGGAAACCATAGCAAAACATGTTACAAATACTAAACGTTTTATCTAAAAAATGAGGAAGCATTCTGACGGAATAACACATATCTTTTATAGCTTCTATACCAATGCAACCGTATTTAGTAAGGTTTTTGTACAACAAAATCCATAGTATTTGCTTCGCAGATACTGGAATTTATAAACCAATTTAGAATTCAGGTAATATTCCAACCCTTCAGTTTTCTGTTTCTAATTAATGATTACCATCACCTTACCATACAAAGTAAAATCAAGCACCATGTTAAATGCAAGCTAAAATATAAAGTTTCCATTGAGAACGTATGTTATCTTATTAGTCATCAGTAAGTGATCACATTTCATGATTCTCAATAGACCACAACATCGTTTAAGTGATTCCATGACAAATTAACTCATATACCCGTTTATATAAATGTGAAAAAAAAAACATACAAAAGGAGAAATAACTTGTGTGCAATGATGGGATAAATTAATATCAGAGGTTCAGATAAGCAAACAAAATAAACACTGATACAGCTTAACAACAAGTCATACTATTGCAATGGGTTATGTAGTAATTTATTACATAGAAGGTGGTTAATTATCCTTCTTTCTGTACTATACAATCTTTTCTCAACTTCCAATCATCACTTTCATATATTCAGTCTTTCTATTCGAGTAGCCTTCATTGCTTTTCACATAAAATGTCTTGGTAAGTGTGTTCGAAATACTAAACTACCTATAGTACGCTGTACTTTTATCTATGCTCCCTCTGAAACTACTATATAATCACGTTTATGATTTCGAACCCATCGGTTTAAGCCTAATCTCTTTGGTCGAGACATTGCATGAAATCTCTCATTCTACTATGAAAATAACGTTTCTTACTAGTAATTAGTTGATAATTGCTCAATTTAAGTTCTTATCCTTACTAATCATTTGTTAGTTCCATTGTACTGAACGGGAAATCAGCTGGGGGTAACCAACCTCTTGGTAAAATATGGGAACAATACATTGAATACTTCATTTGCAAAATTCTATCATTTATCCCTCACATTCTATATAATTCTTTCAAGTCACAATTCCTTTCTATTTCCGTTTCTATTTCCTTTAAGTCGATCTTCTTAGCCTTCTGTTGTTATGCCTTCCTCTTTTAACTATTGTCACATACTACTTATATTTGTCAATATAAATAGTATACATCATATCATTTTCTTGATTTACATAAATTGGACGAATATCTTTCATAAGTCTATTTCCAACTTATTTTTTTATTTTTTCACTTTTACAGACTAAATGAAACATTTCTTGTGACATATGAAATTTATGAAAAAGTTTTACAAGTTTATCGTCTGTCAATTTTTTCATCATATGGTTGTTGAATAACATTTTTTTTTTGTTTCCTCGACAGTGACAAATTAAATAACATTCTGGTCAGTATTATATTGCTTCTGTTTGTTTGTATATGACATGTCTCGTTAATGAATAGTTTTCTTTTCATTATTCAATACTTGTTACATCAGTAAAATTGATGGCTTGATATTATTTCAACTATAAATTATCATTGTCTATATAAAGTTAATGATCCAAGTTATATTTTATACAAAATAACTATCAGTGTTTATCAGTTCTTACTAAATGGTACGTCATTAGTTATGCGATTATTACGAAATACGATTACTGTCTTATACGATCTTATACGATGCATACACGTATGACAGTAGCGTTGAGTTCTGATTGGTCCTTTCTCAACCTAGCTCTGCCTGTTATGTTCACAACGCCTCCGCGATATGAGTCACACATTTCAAACATACTTGGTTGATATACAAGTAAAATCAGACCACATCATACCATAAATTAGAAAATAATATTTGTACAATATCAAACCAAAAAGTGGCTGTGATTTTGAGGACTGTTACTAACAAATTGAGAATATCTCATGAATAGTAAGTCGTATGATAAAAGTCAAATAAAAGCGTATAATGAAAGAAATATGAACATACATAGTCTATGTATAGTATTACTCCATCAATAGATCCCAACACTTACCTTTCATTATTCTCGTCGCGATATAACACCAAATTCTAATTAATATCACATGGTTATCAAAATAACCCATAAATTTTTTTTTCGACAAAATCAACACGTAAAACCAAAAGTAACTGCACTTAATGCAATATAGATAGATTGGAAAAAAGAGTTCAAGTGTACTTAGTAATTATTCGTTGCCATGGAACAGATAGTTAGTTTAGTATCTTCACATAATTCGGAAAACATTTTGTTATTTACGAAAAATATATTATAAATTTCATCTGCTAGCTACTATTTAACGTTAATTTAAACTTAATCCTTTAGTAACTTAACCTAATTAAATAAAAGATTTCTTAGATTAACTGTTTTTGGTTTATGTAAAAATGTGTTGTAGCCAGTGATCACTTTAAAATTTGAATTTATCATATTTTCTAATTCAACTGTTATTAAATCCAAAGATCTTGTTCATTAATTGTGTTTCGAATTACTGAATATCTCAACTGTAAAACCTCTTTTATTAATTTCCAACGCTCAGATGTATTCCATTATAATTATATAATAAATACTTTGTAAGAATAGGTTATTTAAAAAAACTACAGTGAAATTATCTCACTTTCATCTGTAGTAGATATACTTCTAAATATGATCCTTGACAAGGTACGTACTAACAAACAGGACTGAGTCAATAAAATGTTTTATTCAAGTGACGAACTTATGGAATTTAGTTCACCATTAAAAATTCAGAAGCAAGGGATGTCCGTTTTGTTTTAGAATGAGATTGCGTAGTGCTCATCTACGACCCTGAACTTGATAATCGAACTCAATGTTTTCGGTTTCACGCACGAACGCCCAAACTCTGGACCAGTGATTTAGCATCCAACGGTGTTAACATCCATTGTCCACGGGTGTGAAACTGCCTTTTTTTCGACACATTTTAGTTTAATGGTCTCGACTTCCCATTAAAACTCTGGAAATCTCCTTTTGAAGCTAGCCAAAAGTGAACACTTGATAATTGTCACTATGTGTTTGAGGAGGTTGATGAATTTCATTGAAAATATTTGATGACTTCAATTTCAAGAATCAAAATTTTCAAGAATGTTTAATATATCTACTAAATCTTCGTTTTTCTTCTACAATGAAATAATGTTAAGCAAAGTATTTACTTTAATTTATTATATTTTTTACTTATAATTCAATGCAAAAGTAATTAATAACAAAGTCATCAATTTAATCATTAATCAACAAAACAGATCCTAATCCAAATACAGTCCTAAGAATATGTGTTAAATCTCTTTTCAGAATATATATATATATATATATATATATATATATATATTAACCGTTAACTAAATCTGAATTAATGATTATATCTTACAATTATAAAGAACCAAATTACTCTCATTTTCAATATAAATAACATCATATATAATTTTAAGACGTTCTACAAATATATATGATGTGTATAAATTTACTTGGTATTGTTTACTTGAATCTTCCCATTGATGTTTAGGACTGAAATTAATCAGTCTCTTATTGACATATGTACATAATGTGCGTATTGCCTCGAACTTGCTTTAATTCATAATAGGAAGATTCAAGTAAAAAATACCAAGTGATTTTAAACTTCTCCCTATCGCACAAGCAAGTAGCTATCAGAACTCAGTAGCTAAATGGATAACGCGATGGCATTTGAAGCGAGCGGTACTGGGTTCAAGTCTCAGAGTGAACATCAACTCTGATATGTAGGTATATCCAGCCGAAAAGTCCCAAATGGGATGAAATGCGCGTCCTGGATTCCAAGCCAGCCATTATCCATCTTTGCTTATCATATATATATTCCAGAGTAGTTTCATTTTTTTAAAAGTAAATTAACAACATAAAACTACAAGCATAGAAAATACACTGAAATTTGTTTAATTTCTATCGAAGTTTAAAAAGGTTGATGATGTTCCACTACATAATAGAAAAGCTATTCGATAATGTATAGATTTAAGTACTTTTGTTACTGTATCATTTGCATAAAATAAATGATTATAATCTGAATTTAACACATCTGATATTTCATTTAACAGTTCACTGTTATCCTTGAAAACAAACAAACAAAAACAATAGTACTTCATATTCTTTTGTTTCCTGTCAAAACTGTTTTTTTTCCTCTTATACCGGTGAAATATGTCTGTCTTTCTTCAATCAATTCACATAATATTCCCCCCTCTTACACATTAAACCTATTGATGATTGAACAAACCATGTGTTTATTCTCTATAATATATATTTACACCTAATATGTTATAAAGAGGGATATATTCTTCAATTACCTATAGAAACCTAAATATATATAAATACAAATGAATACAAATTGTAAAGTTGAATTCTAATGGAATATATATGTAAATCATAAGAGATTTAAACAATGTTTTACAAAAATATTTTAATTTCAATCATTATTATTATTAATTTATATAGTCAACAATTAACATTCATTAATGCAATACATTTAACACGTTATCAACGTTCATTAAGTATGAAAAATATTATATTATGGCCAAATGGTATTATACCTTATATTATTGATGATATAGATAAATCAAAAAATAATGAATTTACAGAATATTTCTCTAGTAAGTTAATTAAAATATTATTATGTTATTATATTTATTGATTAAATAAATAATCATCTAATTAATAATCATCAGTATATGGGTTGTCGAGAAAATCAAGTTTTTGATTGAGATCATGAACCGATTGATGTTAGATCACCGTTAGAAACCTGGAAGCACTGGATGATCATTTCGTCTTATTATGGGATTGGTTGATGTTAGACATTAACGCCATTGGATGCCAGCTCAGTGGTCCAGTAGATTAAGCGTTTACGCGCGAGTCTAAAGGCCCTGAGTTTGAGTCCCTCGAGAAGGATCGTAGATGCGCACTGCTGAGGAGTCCCACAATAGGACGAAACGGCCATCCAGTAATTCTAGGTTTTCCATGGTGGTCTAGCTTCAATGGATTCATGATTTCAACCAGTGATAATTTATATTATTCTACATATTACGTAACTTCTGAATAGTGGTTACATTATCCTTTCTCTCACTTCATGTTGACCATATTTATTCTGATCATTTATCTCACAATTTCATTTCACTTATAAACTGATTCAAGTTAACACTTCAACCCGAACATTAACGATTTGATTTGATTTTATATAACAAACAACAATCCTTTATTCACATATTACAATTTTAAATGATGTACTCTACTTTAAATCTGACCAATTTTATGGATTATTGATTTGGATATGAGATAATTGTAGAATCTGATGAGAAATTCATTGAAAAGTATATTCTTCGTTCATATAATTGTGTTTTAATGTAATGGGAATTTTTTCAGCGATTAAATAAAATATAAATAATTTGTATGTCTAGATAAATTTCAATGTAGTTTTCGTTGAGATGAAATGCTGTTTAAATCTTTCGCCTTAGTGTATAAACAAACACACGAACAAACTCCTCATGAAGCCCCTCTTTATCTATTGTCAGTCCCAAGCCCGGTAAAGGACGAGGGTTAGGCATGGAGTTAGAGACTCGATCCCATAGAAAACTAAATCGTTAAAAAATGCTAACTAGAAAAAGTAATTCAAATCATTTAAACTCTACCCTGAGAGTTAGAAGATCTTCATTTAGATGAGTTATGACGAACAAACACAGAATCGAGACTACGTATATTTTTCTTACACAGATTATCTGTGGATTGATGAACTAATATTTGAACATAGCATTTGAAGACAAACGTTGAATTCTTTCCATACTGAATAGTATAATTAATAGAATACTGATACAATAATGTTTATGCATAGCATAAAAACATTTTGCGATCTAAATCGACAATACATGGAGATTACGTTTTCAAACATTTCACTAGTAGTCAACTTCAAAGTTCAGCAGTTACCGATCACCATGCTATTTTATAAATTTGAAAACGCTTTAAAATTAGTACTGTAATAAACATGAAACCAGGATCTTTTTAGTTTATTTCATATGACTTTATGAGTTTTTCCTACTGAATAGGCACAATAGTAAATAGTATAACTGTTCGCTGCTAGTTATTTTTAGTAAATCACCAAATAGTATTACTCCACAGTGAAAAATATCATTGAAAACCGCAGTGCTAAACACTTTGACCTCTCGAAAATAAGAATATTTCTAACGGAAAATGCCAGTTAAAACATTTTATTGTTTCAATATTATAAGATTCAGTGATTCTATACTTCATTTATAGTTTTGAACAATTCTGTATTCTGTATTTTCAGAATACGGTTTTGTGAAAATTATAGAATCTTCATAGATTTTAATTGACAAGAAGGCATTGGTTAAAACACTATTTGACAGGGTAGAAAAGATATGTACCACCGACAAACTGGAAGAAGAATTAATGGACCTAGAACAATGTCTAAGAAACAACTTCTATCCACATAAGTTTATTGACAAATATAAAAAGCCCAAAGAAAACAAGACGGAAATAACTACGGTCCATAAAAAGACAGTATCTAAAAATCTTAACTTTAAAGGTGATAACGTCGCCCAAATAATCAGCAGGAGACTGAATATTGCACTTGCCAGTACTTATCCGGCTGCTAAACTTTTAATTCTCTATAAAACAACATGTTTAATAACTCAATCAAAGGTCGACAAGCACCCCTTTCATGTTACCGCCAACTGTATTTATAAATTTACGTGTACCTGCCAAAGCAGCTACATTGACCGAACAGAAAGGAGAGCATACCTTAGATTTTTGAACATGTTCCAAAAAGTCTTAGAACAAGGGAAAGAAGGACTCTGAATAGTGCAATCACCAAGCATCTCCTTGATACAGGACATCAGGTGATCAGTAAGCAGCCAAACTCCAGTCTTCTGAAGTTTGCTGAAGCCGTTGCCGTCAGGCGTCAAAAACCTGACCTATGTGTTCAAAAGGAGATGGTTGTTAATCTTTCCTTGCCTTGGTGACAAATATTCTTTCGCTGCACCTTAAATTTTTTTTGTATTTATTACATCACTGATTTTTATTTCTTCAACTACGTTTCAAATTAATAATCTCTTAACTGAACTCTACTCACTATATTCATATCAAAATTTTTACTCATTATGTAATCAATTGTTTCTAGCCCCTTTTTGAACTGTTGTCACAATTAATGATATAGAATATTCTTTCACATTAGGTATATATTTACAATATTCAGTCTATTAATTTCATTTACACCTTTGCTATACTGTACGAATATGTCTTCAATATAACTTCTAACTCACTATCTAATTATGATTTATAAATATCACAGGTTGTAAGCAGCTGACGAGAACCTATGAAATAAAATGAATTCATGCTATTCTGCTAGAATCTTTGTCCTTGCTCTTTTCAAAATGGTAAAGGGAACTATGTGTATGAAATGACAAATAACCCTTCAACCATCGTTAAAAGCCAGGAAGCACAAAACGTACATTCCGTCGTAGCATGTGACTCATCGGAAGTGCCCATCGATGATACTCGTATCTAAGAATTTAGAACGAAACGGCTGTCCAGTGCTTCCAGACTTTCAACGGTGCTCTGACAAGAATTAATTCATGGTTTAAGATCTATGAAAATTGTATGTTTATTGTAGTAATTTCCTTTGGGTAAGTAGACTAAATTACAGCATAGACATGGTAAAATCAAATTAAATCATATACACAACCAACAACTGTTATCAGATTTTTAGAGACCTCACACATTATTATAAGTAACATTTTAATTTGAAAAATATATCCCTGAAAACAATTCTAAAAGTGTTGAACTGTATACTGCAATCAATAATTGTTGCATTAAGGCCGAAACTTTGAATCGTTTAACAAATAGAATGTATTGTCTGTAAGTGAACAGCTGTGTGAACTAAAAGAACACATAAAATCACACCTGTATTATATTTCGAAAGTCAATTGAATAATTTAGATATTAACCTGAGACTAAAACATATCGCTATCAGTTAAGTCTTATATTTCAATTTCTTGAATATATAAGCAGACTAATTAGAAGCTGTTGATTAAAATTCTGTTTATTATTAGGTTAAATAGTAAACTGGTAATTATTCAACAATATATAAAATAGCACACTAACCGGGTCCATGTCTTCCTGTTGACTACCTCCAATCACCATCTTATCTCAACATAGTGCACGTAATGTTGAGTCACCTAAACTAGTGGCCACGTTGCAACTTGGTCGATAGCATTCATTCTGCACTAAGAAGGACTTGATATACATGACATTGCCCATCCACCACCCAGTGATCAATCAGTTGTGACGATAAGAGAGTTTGGGCTCTGGTTCATGTAATTTTTCATTGTATTTTAATGCATTGATAGTATGAGATTGTCTTTTCTATTTTATTAAACAAATTATTCGAGATCAAGTCCCCTGAAATATTATTATCATCAACTGAAGTCATTTTCTGCTGTATGGCAAAATTTTAACTGTGGATTAATATCCTCGACAATAGGACATGTAATATCGAATTTTAATAACACTTAAACGGTTATAATTGATTTAAGAGTTAGTTAATTTGTTTGACATTCATTCATAAGGTTACTAATTGCTTATGATAATGTTCTAACTCATAAAGTAACCAGTTATTTTAATCTATCCTGATAGAAATCAATTAATAGTGAGATTTTTGAAAGTGTTGTAATTTATTTTCACAGTCCATATTTTCACCTTACCAATGGTAGTTATTATGACGAACGTTGTTATCATTACAGAAATGAAAGAAACACTAACTTATAAAAGAACACAATCAATTTGTTAAGACAGTCGAATTTTCATAGTTTCACACCAACAATTGCCTTTATCTAGACAACCATTAAAACCTTGGAAGCACCAGAATGCTGTCTCGTCAAGGTATAGGACTCTTTAGAAGTGTTGGCACACGGATACACCGATGATTAAAATCAGGATAGTCATTGTTGTACCTGACACAAAGTATTCATGATCTTCATAAAGGAAGAAAGCAAACTATTCTGGTAATTCTTTACTAAATAAAATTAACTTAGTCCAATGATGACATATTTTCAAAATATTTAGGAAAATATTTTGTGCTCGTACTTATTCTTTATCGTGTTCAAAATCTAGAACATTCATATGAAGTGAAAAACAAACTTCTTCAGTTGAAGGCTAGAGTATAAGTCAATCGAAAATTTCACTTGAATTAAAACAGTATACGATTTAAGCAATGTGAATAAAATGAAAAGTGAATATACTACTCGATTTTACAAGCCTAACTAGCTACCATTGTTTTCACTTATACTATACAGTTATTGATATCAGATTATTCAAAAAGGAATGTCAGTGTAGATTCTACGGAAATAACGATTTTTCAATAATAAACTATTATTCCTTCAATAGCATTGAAGATATAAATAAATTGACGAAGCCATAGATCGTTGATTTTATTAGTGGACATTATCATTTAGAAAACATGCAATAGTAGTATTAGTCGACTAAATTTATTTTTTTTCTGAACATCAAACAATTGACTCCATCAATTGATCTACTCCAGTGGAATGAATTATTTAATCTATCAGATGCTAGTTAGCTATTTAAATAAAGATAAACATATTGTAGAATAAATGTATGTATTTGTCAAGTACTAACAATGAGTAACTAGTGTTACCATTAGCATATAATCATTACTATATTCAATATACACTTCTGGTCAATATTTAATTAAATTTCAATCTTATCTAAACGTGTTTCACTCACATTAAAAAAACAACAATCTGATAGAGGAGCAAAAGCGATTAAATGTCAGTCGTTTTCTACAATATATATCAGTAAGTAGAATACTAGACTTAATAAATTGAGACTGCTGACAAAAAAATATTGTTTTGATTTTACTTGGTTTTGTAATCTCAGCTTCTAATTCATTTTTTTATTTTTTGGAAATTATATTGGGATCAATTTATTAATGATCCTACATCATAAATTGAAATAACCAATCAAAGTTTTGTGACTATTATTGACAATAATATCAGTTGTGAGATAAGAACTCACTGATGGCAATGGTGGATGTGTCGCTCAATTTTGTGGATTAGTTGAAGTTAGACATTAACACCGCCAGATTCCGGCCGGCTCAGTGGTCTAGTGGTTAAGTGCCTGGCGCGATACCGATAGGTTATGGGCTAGAATCCCGTGAGGCGGGCTCGTGGATGCGCACTGATGAGGAGTCCCATAATAGAACGAAACGGCCGTCCAGTGCATTGAGGTTTTCCATGGTAGTCAAGCTTCAATTGACTCATGATCTCAACTATTGTAAATATCTAAGAAAAATTTGGATTGATCATTTCATGAATTCTTGAAAGAAATTTCTCTGGTATGTATGTTTTTTTTTCTTTCTAATTTCTAGAACTTGATGTTTTATTAATTAAAAAAGCAATGTCAATTATTGAAGAAGAAACATGTATTCAATTTTATGATCTAACTTCTAGAATAAATACAAGAAGATTTTCTGATAGACATTTAATTCGAATTAAAGGTCGAGGTCAAAGGTAAATGAATTACATTCTTTACTTATTTGAGAATATGAATAATTGTATTGTATTTAGGTAAATAAACATAATACATTATTTTTGATGAATTTAGAGATAATTAATGTGTCATTCGTTAGTGAATTGAATAAAAAAAAAAGATACATACGATATTCCGTAAAGAGCAAATGTTCACTGTTATACAACTAATGATGTGTCGAATGTCAATAATTTATCTTGATGGTAAGTATTGTAAAGCTCAAATAGAGATATAATAATGGTTTGTAAAAGGAAGCAGGAATACACTGAAATTTATGCATGTTAACTAAAATAAAAATTGACATTAATTATTTAATGAGTGATTTTTTCTTTTATGGCTACCCTTATGGGGTTGAACATAAATAACTGTTGTTTAGGTTTCTCTTAATTATTTCATAATCTTTATAACAGAATAGTAGATCTGAATAATTTTATATACATAACCGTAACAATGAATGATAAATTTTACGTTTTCCAAGATACGTCTATTATCTAAAATAAATCAAAAACGTTTTATAAATATATAACAGAATAGCTGTTAAGTTACGTATGGAAAAAAGCAAGCTTCCACTTCTTTATCTAATCAATTACAACAATGATAAGTCGATGAAAGTTCAATGGTACATGAATGAATGTATATTATTCTGAATGTCTGTAGCTGAGATGATAATAAATGAATAGCCTAAACTTTCAAATAAACATGAGCTCCAACAATATCATGGTTATATGTTCATTCTTTCTTTGATATTTATGTATGTTTAGCAAATAGAACATTCTTTTAATTATTTCACTATTTTCTGTAAAATGTTGAAGATAATGATAATCTTCAAAGTTTACTTTTTAAAAATTTACAAACGTTGGTAGTATCATCCTTGACATCTTACTAGATGAAATGTATTCATTTGATAAAAGATTCAATTGAACGAAGTACAATACAATCGATTAAAAGAGATAAAATAGGTGAATCAACTTATAGATGCCTATATATAATATTATGAATCCTGTACATGCTTGTCGAATGAAAACAATCTATTTAACGTTGCAGTTTAAAGTACTGTTTTAGATTTTACTCTTTAGCAGAGAATGGTGCTTTCAAACTACTCACCTATCACCCGGTGTCATAGTCATAAATGTTACTATTAAGAGCATAGATCCTTTCTAGGATTGAGATCTACTGACTATTTTATCACTGATTTCTATTAAATTCTGTATGTATCTTTTCATTGACCTTAATAAGATTCTGTCGATTACAGTTTCCTACTGATTGCTATCAAAGGGCTCCAAATTAATCGTACTTGATTTGAAAGTAATTCAATTAGATTAATCGGCATAATGTAGTTTGATTAATAAAATTTGAACTCCACCAAAAGTTTAAAAGCATAACATTGATTTTGTCCGGTGATCAGCCAGTATAAAATATACATGTTATCTAGCATAATGAAGAAATTTCAAATTATTTTGTTCGTTGTGTATAGACAAAGTAGCTTGTTCTAAATCAAATTTGATAGTCAATGAGAGCGTAAATGAATTGTACACATCATAAACTTGCGCTAAAAGTATATCTTGCATAATAGGCTATGAGATTCTCGCATTTCTAGCATTAGTAAACCCATATTATTCAGTATGATCACCATACACTGAAGCGTTTCTTAAAATGTGTCTGTTTTTCGTCACGTTCCTGAATTATCTAGTCATTCAGAAATCGGAAACCGGAATCCTGGGGAGCCCTTTTGCGTCATTAGAAGACAAATGTTTGAAATCTCTTATGACAATTTATGTTTTATTTATCTAATCACATATCAGAAAAAAGTCAGTAGTAAGCTAGTCACAAACAATGAATTAACGAAGGAAATGATTATTATTATATGTGCTTCCAAAAAATTTGATTTCTTACCAACTCGACAGGATTTATTCTGCCTTCAAAGGAAAAATATTTAAAACTATTTTAGCCAAATGGTTTTTGAAAAACAAAATTTAGTACTGAAAAGATGACAGTTGATCTTTTGCACTGAACTGTTTTTATTCTTACTTTTTTTTTTCAGAGGATGCTATTCATCATTAGGCATGATGAGAAATAGGAATCAAGTTCTTCGACTTGGTCCAACCTGCCGAACTGTAAGTACACATACACATACAAACACATTACATGGGACCTAATACTATACATAATAATAATTAAGATGCTTAGTAAAAAATGTTTTGTAGATTTTGCTTTAGTAATGTTTCTCTATAATATATAGATTATTCACGAGTACATTTACTGATAGGATTGTCAACTGTTGCATAATATTAAACAGTGTGTTTCTATTTACAAACTATTTCTTGGTTCACTAAGGTTTAATGTTCAACTCTTAAATAGGTTTCAAGTTAGCTACAGTCAACAAATTCATCGTTCTATTGTCATGAGAATGTGCAGTTACATTTGTATAATAACTAAAATAAAATTGAATTGAAATATAAATCGCGACAAGAGATTAAAATGTCATTTATAATCAGTAAGTATAGCATCGCCAACTGACTACTATACGAGTAACGAAGGATTTTAATGAATATTTTCACTTCAGTTAGAGTTTTTTATCTTTAAACTGTTGGATTATACATATTAGTCATTTTGGACTAATTCAAATGATCTAATTGCAGATTCATTGTATTCCAGATGAAAATAATGAAATATAAAAGAATCGTTTTAAGCATAGGGTTATGAAGATTGTCCGATTTCAAACAGATTCAACACCACAGTAAATGTCCGTATTTAGTTTAATATACTAAGTGTTTACTTTTTATATCTAGTATAGGATAGTTTATAAAATTTTCATTTATTTTAAATTTCTTAAAGTTAGATAGTAGTAGTAGTGTTAAACCACCAACAGTGAATATTGACTCTTTGATGAGTGAAGAATTTTTTTCTTTAGTTATGAATTAAATATATCATCTTTCGCTTTATGGCATAACTAATAGATTCATTTGGTATTATACAACTTTTAATTCAATAAAATGAAAAATGGCGGCAAAATTTATATCGAAAGATAAATCAAAAAGTTTGTTTTTTTGTTTAACTTATAAGTGAATAGGACATATTCTATTTATCCGATATTTTCAAATACATAATTCACCGTATGTAAGAAAATTTTCTGTTTTAACTAAACTAAGTAATTAAACATTAAGATTATTTCGTATAACATTGACTTTCAATGAAGAAAGTATAAAGTGTTTATGAAGTATCTTGTGGATAATCTAATAGGAATCACTACTAAGGTATAAGATTATGATAATTGACATTCAACTTTATTACTCAATTAACTGTGTCATACGTATTCTGTAATTATAGGATTCTCAGATTTTCTTAAGAGATTGTGTAATTTTGAGTTTAAATACATTAGATTGTCCATACTTGTGTTCTCGTTCACTACAAAGATACTTCTATCAAAGTTCAATTCATCAGACTTAAGTAGGTGCTCCTAGTTTTCTGCGATTCTCTAACTTACCTATAACAAACATTTCCAAGAAACGATTGAATTAAACAAAAGTTTTATGTTATAGCTTAGTTATGACAGGGATTTCTCTATAATGAAAAACTATGATCTTCAAATTATACAATTACGATACATAGACAGCTATCCGACAAGATGATAGTAAAACTATTGTGTAAACCTAATGAATTTCAGAATGTAAAACAATATATTCAAACTTCATGATTTTGATGGAATTTTGTTCTCTGATAGCCTATCTGAAGTTTGTGCTGATGGTGTCGTTCAGAAGAACGATGAAAGCTCTGCGACCAAACCATCCAGCTCAGAGAACAAAACTCCATCAAAATCACCCACCTGAGCTACAAATCTTCTCCACCATCTCAAAAATTAATGGTTCAATGTGAGGATATTTATTTGCTGAAGAAGTTGCTCACACTAAGTCACGAAACTTCAGAAAATCTAATTGTTCTACTCATTGGGATATTATAAATGCATTATTTACACCAATCTACATAATGCTTGATTTACTCGAAATTATCAAGTCAAACTTTGGTAACGATACCTATAAGGGTCCTTGATTCAATTTGGCATAGTTGTCAATGGAATAATAAGATTCGCAAACTATTTTTCTTCACACTTTTGGTGTATTCATTACTTTTGTTAACAATGTTTTCTTTCTATTCAAATCACTTTGTTAAATTGAATTTATATTGTAACTATGCAATTAATTGCGTTCACTCTAAATTCTGATGCTTCCTTTAATCAAAACTGGTTATGTATACCTTGAATAAACATTCTTTATGAAAATAAGATTATACACTTAATTGTTTATAAAATATTACTGATGTCATTTATAGTTAAGCATGTAAAAGGTCAAAGGAAATTACATAATTTTACCATAATGTTTTATCAATAATTTGTACTTACGCTTTTTGTAAATGTCAAGCTTTAATTAGATTAACTAAATATAAGATTTTATTCTTATAATTGAATGAATATAAAGATAATTTAAAAGAAAGGGAAGAATACAAAATGACTTATGATTTCTTTAGATAAAAATGTTAGTATCATTAGTAAATGTTTTGTATACATGAAATGATGGATTTTAATGAATATTAGTAGTATGGTAGGTTTATATTCGAAATCACATGTTAATTTAGGCGTCAAGTGAAAAACACTTCAAAGTTATTCTGTGTAGAATGGTTACTGGGACAAAATTAGATATCGTGAACCAATTGATGTTAAGCCACCATTAAAAACCTATAAGCACTGAAAGGCCGTTTCGTCCTGTTGTGAGACTCCTCGGTTGTGCGCACCCATCGTCCCGCCTCGCGAGATTCCAACCAGGAGCATTGAGCCTTGCGTGCGAACGATTAACCTCTAGACTACTGAGACGGCATACAACGGTGTTAATGTTTAACCAATCCCGCTCGCTAGCATGATCGTGGGTGCGCACCGCTGAGGAGTTCCGCAATAAGACGAAACGGCCGTCCAGTGCTTCTAGGTTTTCGATGGTGATTTAACACCAATTGGTTTATGATATCAGTCAAAAACTTTATAATCTCCACAACTCTATACTGATAAAAAACTAGAGAAACAAAAATATTTAAATGAGGTATATTACTGTAAGTTATGAGTAGTTTGAACTCCACCAGTAAATTAGAATGACGCTATAATCGTTAAGTTTCATAATTTGTTTATAAGTTAAGTCATCATTATGGTAAATAATCTCAGAAAACAAACAGTTTCGATTAGTTCTGTTCTCTAAAATAAATTTAAGGAAATATAAATTAGATTTTCGATCTGATATGAGAATAATGTAGCAAGATGAAATAGTATTGTAGATCAACAACAACAAAAAATGCTTCTAGGTTACCGATAATTTCGTTCTCCTACCACTTTAGACTATAAAAACCACAATCACTTTAGTAGAAAATTAATTAGCTAGACTAAAGTGATTTCTATGAATATATTGACTAATAAGGTAATTTTTATAAAAGGGAAGAGGTTAATCATTTGAACTTTCTACTGATGATTCAAGAAATCTATGATAACGATTTTATTGAAAATGTCTTTAGTAAATTCATTAAACTTGAAGATGATAACGACGAAATAAACTTAACTTCTCAAAATTGAGATAATAATGTCTAAATGGTCAATAACCCCGTAACCAAACTGTACAAACTATTACTGATTATCTACAAAACAGACTTATTGTTCCTTAATTGGTAACTAATATCATAAAGTTTATTTCGTATTGCTAGGCACAACATTTTGATTAGAAATGTATAATTGGGTTTATGTATATTTAGGAAACAACAGTTCTTTTAGTATTCCACGTGATTTCTATTGGTAAGTGTTAAACAATACAGAGTATAAGGACTTCGGTCTATATCCTGGAAACATGTGGAGGGTTCATTAATTTCATTATTTATCGAACTTGAAATATATGCTTCCGTCATCTTAATGAGGTCGGCAACTCACCTGCTTGCTGACAGATTAATGTAATGAAGTCAAGTATCCAGCTGAGTTTATTTACATATTATTAATATTACGAAATACATATTATAATACAGATGACGACCATAAGCTTTCAGAAGACCATAAAACTCTTGTTATATCTGTGTGCAATCAATCTAATTTACTGATGATAGCATAAACTAATGTTAGAAACTTTATCTTGAGAAACTTCAAAGAATACCTCCACTTGAAGACTTGTCATCTGTTCAAGTGAATTGTTTTGAAATGTTTTATTGGATATATTTTTGAGAAAGATCTGGAACTTTTTCAATAGTATTTATATTTTAAAATTAATAACATTAAGTACTGTTTTATTTAATATAGGTTGGTCAAATCCTTCATGAATTACTTCATGCATTAGGTGTAATGCATGAAATTATGCGACCAGATCGTGATCAATACGTTATTCTACATGAAGAAAACATTGACAAATCATATTTGGAAGAATTTAAAAAAATTAGAGAACATCAATCTATTTTGACAGATCGTAAATTTGATTTTCAATCAATAAGTTTATATGATCCTTTTGTAAGTGAAATTAAATTTTATTTTTGTCCTCGTAATATTATTTCTTGATTCTTTACTAAAACTTTGTATATGAATGACAATGAGTATCTCCACTTAGTCTTTAGTATATATATTAAACTGTATACTGAGTCATGCATATTTTGTAGATTGAGTCAATCTATTTCATGTGTTTATTTATACTGTTAGCAAACAACTGGTTATCAATAGAAATACAGGGTAGCTTCAATAATCAATCAGTAAACATCAGACTATATTGGCACATAGTGGAGCCAAGAAACATTGAAAAACATGAATAATACTTTCAAAAAAGAGCAAATAAACTGTTCTACAGTTATGCTGAAGCATTAATTATGTAACTATAACTTACGAAGTTCGTAAAACTTCCGAAGAGTAGAATAACGTTTCGACCTTCAGTATATAAAAAATATTTAGCTACCTTGTATTTTATCAGCTTTGAAAAACAATGATTTTCTGAATCAAGAATATATAAGTATATAGATACATTTTAGAAGATTCAGTCAATTTTTCCATCATGTAATTTATATTACTTTGTATATGAACCTTGATAATTACATCAGTTTGACATGTTCCTTTAAATGATTTCTGATAATTGAAAATTAAATTTTTACTGTGGCGCCACATATAAAAGTTTGGGATCAGGTTTTTTTTCAAGATATCAATAAGAAATCAAGATGAGCTTCAGGTTAAAAGCTAATAGATAATAGTGAATAAAACCAAAAGTTACGAAAAATTCCTTGATCATTTTTCAATAAAATTAATGTCGTTGTTCAAAAACAATTCAAACAATTCACATCTTTTATTTCATTTCAGACTTTTACATCAAACGGTAATCCAGTATGGGAACCAATTAATAATTTAGATGACGTACCATTGTTTTCAATCAGTGAAAAATATTTATCATTTGAAGATACTGTTGGTTTAAATCGACTGTATAAGTGTGATAGTACGTTGAAATTTAAAACCTAATTATTAAGTAGCTGTTAACATAGTGATAGTTTGTTCAAATATCAGGTTTCATAATTGTTATTTTTAATTGAGATAATGAACCGTTCAATGTTATACCATCATTGAAAACCTGTAAACACTGGACGGTCTATTAGTCCTTGTATGGAACTACTCAACAGTGCGCAACTACGATCACTTATACGGGATTAGAACCCAAAACCTTCTATCTCGCATGTGAACGCTTTACCTCTAGATCACTGAGCCGGCACCCTATGTTGTTAATGTCCAGTAGAGTGCAACAGTGTCAGTTATGCGGCAGTTACCCGACTGAGACAATGAAAGATGGTCATACAATATCGTGGATTGGTTGAAGTTAGACATGGATTCCTATTGGAACTCCGAGAATAACCCCTCAAAGCTAGTCACTAATGAGCGCATGATAATTATCAGTACAAAGTAGTGGAGATTGTTGAGTTTGTAATTGAGATCATGAACCTATCAATCTTAAACCACCATTGGAAGACAGTCGCACAACATTCTGGACTGGTTGAAGTGAGATATTAACACCATTGGGTGCCGGCTCAGTGGTCCAGAGATAAAGCGTTCACGCGCGAGAGAGAAGGTCCTGAATTACAATTCCATGTGATTGATCGTAGTTGCGCACTGCTTAGTAGTTCCATACAAAGACCAATCGACCGTCCGCTGCTTCCAGGTCTACAATGATGGTCTAACATTGATCGGTTCATGATCTCAATTAATGCTCAACTATCTCCGTAACCCTTTAATGATAACTGTTATTTTTGTTTTAAAGTGTATTTATTTACAGAATAATTTTTTATGAGGTAGAAAATATCCATTTGACGCTTTATTATCTACAAACCTCGAAAACTAAAGTTGCTATCCACAAGCTGTACAGTTATAAAACATAGAGACACATGAAATATTTTGATTAATTTATTTTTTATCCTTACCTTAGAGTTGTTTGATTTTTATCCAGCTTTAGAGTTTGATAATAATAATAATAATAATAGTAACAATAATAATAAAGGAACTATATCAGCCGCGTTTTCCAGTTTATTTAGCATGTGTATAGATCAAAGTAATGTATCTAAACGGAATGAAAGTAAACAATATGAGTATACAATAAGTTTTTTTCTAATACCCTGGAAATAAATTCACACAACTTCAAGTAGTTAATGAACAATCTCTTTTCAAATTTACACATAAAGATTCAGTAATTTATATCAGTTTTTGTTTTGCTATTCGCAAATGAAATTTATCAACTAAAAGTCTTGGTAAATGATTTATAGATTTGTAAACAAAACACACCTTCAGTCAGTTAACTGTTCAAATTCTGAGATATGAAAACTGATTGTTTTATATCTAGTTCATTCAATTTATATAATACTAATCATTAATGTATGTAGTTAATTTCATAGAGAAATTGATATAATATCCGGTTATTGTAAAACTGGAAATTTTATACTAGTCTTAACTTTCACTAATTGTAATTTGTATGACATTATTCAATAGGAACTTGTTCCAATCAAAGTGCACCATGTGAACCAGGGGAATTTAGAAACAAACATTGTATTTGTACAAATGCATCAAGTAAGTACAATATATGATTTTTTTCAGTTAAATATGGATGAATATTGTAAAAATATGTGCTTTTGTTGATTTCTAAACGTATAATTATGCATTTAAAGTTTTGTAAACAGTAAGAATCAAGTAACTAGCAGAATGAAGTGTATGAATAATACCTTCCAAACACTTTTCATCATTTATTAACAGATTAAATGTACGATTACTAGTATGATTGAAAGCAAATGTTTGATAAATTCTAATTAATAAAACTGAGACGGAAATTGAAACAAAATATAAACGCGAAATCAGAAGATTTAGACCCATACAAAAATTGATAGCAAATACTGTAATTGAATATGATGTATTTCAATATTTTAAAAAATCCACTCATCTAAAATAACTAATTAAATGAAAGAAGGACCTGATATACATGACATTGATCACCACCCAGTGATCAATCAATTGTAAATACATCTCAGTTTTACAGGAGGTCAATCGCTCAGTGGTAATATCTCTGTAAAGCTGGGTGACACGCGATCCAATCTGTTGGAGAGCATCACTTCCCTCAAGATTACAGGTACACCTTGCTGACGAGTGCCAGGTAGCACAAAACCTATGTCTACAGTTTCCTGTTAACTACCTCCAACCACCATCTTATTTCAACATATTGCACGTAATGTTGAGTCACCTAGACTAGTGGCCACATTGCGACTTGGCCTATAAGATTCGATCTGCACTAAGAAGGACCTGACATACATGACATTGCCCATCCACTATCTAGTGATCAATCAATTGTAAAAAGAACAAAGCTTAGTAGATCAGTAAAAAGAATAATGAATTTATCATCACTGAAATTGTTTCCGATTACTGATTTTCATCATGGCAAAGTAAAGTATACGTTATGTAAGTGAGGTTTTCAAAATCAGTAATTAAATTACATTTTTTGAAATAATATTCTCAGAAATATCACCATATACTCAAGAATAAATAGTAAAGCGTTGTGATCAATTTATCTTATTAATCTTCAAACTGAATATTTACTAAGTTTCGCACTGTATAAGTTGTTAATCATTAACTTATTTCCATAGAATATGCTTTTGATCGATGTAAAGATGATGTCAATGAAACTAAATATTGCAGTGATGCAGTTTCTAAAAATAAATGTTACGATGAAGCAAAATATGCCATACCTTTTTGCAGACGTACATGTGGTAGATGTTTTCGGGCTGGTTCAATAGGAATATCAAAACCTCCAAAAAAGTGTAAGTTTAAATTTTAATGTATGAATTCAATTTTGGAAAATCATTAATGTTTTCTTATAGACAGTTAGTAATATGTTGCCAGATAATAGGTAAATAAAATCTTACTTGAGAAACACATAATAGAAATATATGGTTGCTCAGATTTTTCATATCCTGCAATCAAATCTATTGATTTAAAAACATAAGTTGATTCATAAAAAAATTCTGAATAGGAGGTTTAAATATCTAATGATGTAACAAAGATCATATTTTATTATTCATGCTTCAATTAATTGTTTTGTCAGCAGTTGTTAGCATTGCATTTAAATCGATCTGGATGAGAACCAGAGTAGAACTAAATAGCTGTTTATAACAACATAATTCATTTGAATTACGAATGCAAATATAATTACGTTAGATATTTTCAATCAACTGAATGTATCAATCTAATGCTTTCTTGACTATACGATAACCAATAATATCATACCTTTTCTTTGAGCTATGTTAAATGTTCTACAAGCTTGGCTAGAATAAAATCCTCTAGTCTATGCAGTTAGGATTTGTTAAGAATACTTGATCTCTTGATGTTTAACAGTCATTCACAATAATTCAATATATTTTGCTTGCGGGTTTTTTATCATTACAAAAATATTGTCTTCTTACCTGATTAACCTTATTTTTATTGAAGACAGTATTCAACATCTACATGGTGTGTATTTCATCAGGAGAATCTCGCTTATTAAGTGGAACAATTTAAATTGTTATATCACCACTCTTTAGTTTTTAGCTATAGTTAATTATTGAAAAGATACATAGGAAGATAGGTGAGTTAGGAGTTTTCTCAGTAAACTTATGATAATTTACATTCTATGCTGTCTTTAGTTAAACGGAAGTTGAAAACTAGGGAGAACTAGACTGATGTTTCATCATGATTTAAATCTCCTCAACAGTGCTCTCTGTAGGACCAAATAAATGACATTTAAGCCTCAGTATGAATGTATCATTTTTGAAGTGCTGATTTGACATTCAATGATACTTGTTTCTACCTTCAACAAATTTGACACCATCACTAGTATTAGTAACTGTATCATTTTCAGTATCGTTGAACTGCAACGTTTATTGTTTTTTACTATAACTTCAAAAAGCTTTTTCAAAATGAGTTAATAGTAAACAACTGATTGTTATTAAAATACGTTTGCAGGGTTTGTCGAACCTGTCCAAATTGTAGATAGTGTACATGTCAGTCAACAGAATAAAAACAGGAATACTGGAAATTATTATACTAAATTTTGACAATATTACTAGATAATTCAAGAATAATTAGATATTTGATACAACTCTCATCCTTTTAAAACTTCAGTAAACTGAAAACAACACAATTGGGGAAATTCTCTTTACGAATAAGCAAACCGGGGAGAAAGTATGAATTCATTATATTTTGGCAAACAACCCATCATTAACATATTACCAAATTCACAGGGCAACAAAAACAAAATTTAAATTCCAACGCCAACAATTTACTCATTATGATTGATTCACATTCTCCAAAATTAAATCTTGGTGCCGAATTCTGATGATTTTGGGTTTTGAACAATGTAGAAAGTTTAAGAAGTACTTATCAATAAACTAGGGAAATCCATTTTGAATTTTCCAGCTGAAATTTCTAATGTAATAAACCTTGTAGTAATTAATTCACAATCTACATATGACACAAACCTGTCAATTTAGAATATCTAGAATCTCTTTAATATAACAATAACGTATTTAAATAATTAAAATTAATTAAACGCATTTCAGGTGGTCCCAGTGCTTTAAAATACTACTGTAATCTAAGTAATTTATACGACTTTTGCTTTTAGTATGTCAAGATGTGGAGATTGATATGTGTGAAAACTACGTCAAAGAAGGATATTGTCACTTTGATGGTTGGACCAAGTTAAATTGTCAGTATTCCTGTAACCTATGTCCATCACCTGATGTCGTCAAGAGACAAGTTGAAACAAGTGATGTAAGAGCATATTTAGAAGCTTATCGCAAAGGTGATTGTTTCAATAGGTATGATGATCTACGGTGTGAAGTATTTGCTGAACGTGGTGATTGCCGTACGAATCCTGGTTTCATGTCTAGTCAGTGTACTCAGTCTTGTGGTTTATGTTCAGAGATAGAAAACCGGCATCCAAATGTTAGTTATACTCAGTCTTCCCATACAATACGACTACCGGCACCCTGTCGTAATTATATTGATGATCAACGTTGTGATGCCCTTGCTAAAGAAGTAAATTTCCTTTCTTTTTTTGGCTTATTTTATATCACGTCTGAATGCATTCTTTAAAAATGCACCAGATTATAAAAATAATATATTTTATCAATATAGAAAGTACATATGTTTTATATGTTCTCTAACATCCTTTGTTTATTATATGAAGCTTTATAGTTGTGAAGATGGTTGAAGCTGAATGAACTTTCTTTCAGTCTAACAATAATCTATGATCAAATTAATCACGATGGTGTAGGCTGAGACTTGATTAATGATTTTGTTATCTTTACACCGTAGTTGCATCTTACTATACTTAACTTACAACACATACGTTAATAAGGCTTTAGAACTTATCTAATTAATATTTTTAAGTTAATTAATTAGATTGTTATGATCGAAATTGGTTGATAATTGTTAATAGGCTCGGCTTTTTAATTTCAAATAGAATTTTAGTCGAAGTACAATTGATAGATTACTGTGAAGCTTATGTTTTCTAGTGATATTTCAAATAAGAACGTTCATGTATCAAACATAAACATTTATAAACATCATACTATATAATACAGATATATTCTAGTGTTACTATGTAGTAAGAATGACGATATTAGACAGAATACGACATTCATTTGACGAATACAATCAAAATCAAAACATTAACTTCGTTCTACTTGTAGTCGGTCAAATGGATCTAGATGTATTTTCGTTGGATTCTTTACTAAGATTGTAACGTACTGTTTCGAATGCCTCTGTTTAGGCTATCAGGTAAACATAGTCATAACTTTTTTAATGGGATAACAAAATCATACGGACTATACAGAAAAAGGAACACATAAAGTACATCCAGTAAACAAGAGACAAATATATATATATATATATATATATATATATATATATATATATATTACTTTAAATCAATCGAGCAATACTAACTAGATTAATAAATAATATATTTGTAGTATCCCACCGAGTAGAAAAATTAAGTTTCCAAATTTTCTGACGTTTCGTGACTCAGTGTAAGCCATTTCTACTCATTGGGATATTACAGATATATTATTTACTAATAACAATCCATTTAGTGCTCAATTTGTTTAAATATACTAATCAGAGTTAAATCACAACTAATTATGTCAATCTCTTCCTACTCCGTATTTTATATTTAGTTTATTAAGCAACTAGAACATCCGATGTCTTTGATTTACGATAAAACTATGCTCAATAATCATACCGACTAGTTTTTTATGGTATGACTGATGTGCTTATAAAGATCCCCATATATGGGTAGAAAGCTTGTTTAATGTTCCATGATCTTTAGTGGTTTCCCAGCTTGTGTCTCTTGTTTGTAAAAAACCAACTTCAAAATTGACAAATGCTTAGTAACAATTAGAAAAAAACAATAATTAAGTCCTGACTAGTGGCTGAAATAGATACAGATTCTCTAATTTTGATTTCAAATCTAACTAATAGAGCACAAATATATCGCAAGTAAAACAGTTACCAGCCAGTAGAAACATGCTTTGATGCACCATCATGAGAATTGAATAAATTTAAGAATGTATCTCCCAATGATATATATATATATATATATATATATACAATGGTTTATCTATGACAACTCAATATCCCAGATATGATGCCTGATAGAATGGTAGATACAAATTCCTGATTGATCTTGTCCAGTGCTCACTAATTACAAATGAAATTATATTATTATTCATGTCAGAACAAAAAAAGTCATCTTTAAATACTGACAAAAACGTTCCGGTATAAATTACTTTATTGTCATACGTATCTCCTAAAATCATTTAACCATAACCAGCTTTTTTTTTCTACCAAATACATGAAATAAAACTCAGAAAAAATTGTTTGTTTTACAATATATTTCTAAAGTTATGTTTTTTAGATGGTGGAGACGTTTTGTAGCTCACGTGGATGATTTTGATGGAGGTTTGTTCTCTGAGCTGGATGGTTTGGTCGCAGAGCTTTCATCGTTCTTCTGAGCAATATCATCAGAAGTCTACCTAAAGTTTGTGCTAATGATGTCGTTCAAAAGAACGATGAAAGCTCCGCGACCAAACCATCCAGCTGAGAACAGAACTATATCAAAAGTTATGTTTGTTAAAAAAACCCCATTTCTTCATTGACAGATGTGATTTCTATTAACCACTAGGTAGGTAACATAAACTGTTAAATCAATTCTCACTGTAGTGTACCGTTCAATGTAGATTAAGTTTCAATAAGTTGATTTTGATAACATTTTTATTGTTTTAGGGAAAATGTTTTGGGACTACATTGAAACAGTGTCTTGGTTCATGTAATAAATGTGGTGATAATTATCGACGTCAAACTACTGAAATTCCCCATACTACAACAACCATTATTATCAATAATAACGATAATAGTACCAATACTTATTATAATAACTCATTATTGTCACTCGAATGTGAAGATCAGTCATCCTTATGTTCATATTATAAAAATACTTTAGAATGTAAAACGAATAAAATTATTATGTTAGAAATGTGTCCTAAAACTTGCGGATCTTGTGAATTAATCTGTGAAGATATTGATTCACCAAGTGTGTGTAATGATCTTGTTCAACGTGGTTACTGCAACCTATCAAAAGTGCATGCTCGAAGATGTAAAAAAAGTTGCAGTATTTGCAAAGACCTGAAATATTTAAAGACAAATTCATCTATATCCAATAATCTTACTAATGTAATTGTGTCAAACAGGACAAAAGAAATTAATGAGACTATTTTTAATATCACCGCTACGTCATTTGCAACTACCAGTACTACAACAGTAGCTTCAAAAAATTCTATTACTTATTCTACAACAAAAGATAATTTAAATAGCTTCGAAGTGACATCTGCAATATCTAGAACAGCAGAAATCTCACATAGAAAACCATCATCGAAACCTAAATTTGTAACTAAACGAACGTACTTACCATCAGAATGTGAGTCACAATATTTTTTAAACAATCCATCAAATTTTCATTTCATCTATTGTAATGTCATTATATCTAAAAACGTTTATTATTAATTGACTTGTCGGTTTAAGTTAGATGGCTCATGAAATACATATTCACTAAATATTAATAGAACAATTGAAAAATTCTTATTGATTTAACCCTAAACTTTTTATACGTTTAATAATCTGTTATAATTAAATGCCTCAGTGTAAATCAAGGTATTATAAAGTTGGATATTGTTTCATTAATCAGTTTAAAAAAAGACTAAGATATTTCTCGTCGGTGATGATAAAAAATTCAAAGCCAAACATGAAATCGAAATATTAGTTGCTTAGTGGTCTATATTCTTTATTTATTCAGTCGATAAACTTTACTAAAGTCGACTATTCCACAAACTTTTATTGAAGCTACACTGATTGAAAGGTATCGGTTTAATTTAACTCGGAAATAAAGAGATAAGCCATTGTCAGATAAATCAATTTAATACCAGAATATGTTTTACACGTTTTATAACCGTTAAAGAATAATTTCTGAAGTTCCTCGTGTTATCTACCTATCCATTTGAAATTTGAAGCTAGGAGTAGAAACACAGAATAAGCTGTGAACTTTTGATTATAAAAATTAAGTAAAGTAACATATATTTCAATCGCAAAACTAAATACATTATGTGGTTATCGTTACCAAGGTTTGACTTAATTAGTTCGAATAAATTGAGCATTGGGTAGATTGGAATAAATAAATAATATGTTTGTAATATCCTAATGAGTAGAAAAATTACATTTTCTGACGTTTCGTCACTCAGTGTCCATAAGATTCTTGTTGTTTCGTTGTACTATTTAAACTTGGGTTAATTTTGATTTGATTATTTATTCTCTGAAGAAATGGCTTACATTGAGTCACGAAATGCTGATTCGCCTTTTAAATATGATAACAGTGATCACTTATATAGTTAAAATGAATTTTATTCTTGATTTAAAAACCGAAATTCTTTTGAGAATCGAACATTATTCAAAATAGATTTCATTATAAATAACTACTTTGTCCTCTGAAAGACATGACCGTAATTACTGTATAGTAAGTGATTCAGGTAACTTAGAATGACAAACGTTTATGATATTATGAAATGAAAGAGTAATAGCAAACTTTATCGTCTATATTTCTTCATTATAATGACACTTACATTCAAATATAATTTTTTGTTCTATAGATTCTGACAACAAACAGGAATGTATCGATCAATACCCGAAAACATCTTGTATCGCTTGGAAAAAGACAGGTTATTGCAATTTTCCACATGTCTCTAAATTATGCTTGAAAACATGTCATTTATGTGAAACTATTGAATTGTTAAGTAAATATCGACCATTAATAATTTAATTATTCCTTTACTCTGTTCTAATATTTTATTTCATTGTATCTTAGTTTCATTACTTTTCATTTGAAATTGTTTCATTGCATTTATTAAGTATGTTTTATACTAATAATAATATTAACAGTATTCATATTATTTCTAAATTGAATATCATCTGTTTCTTTATATAGGAAAAATTTTTTAAATCAAAATATGACTTTTCTTTGTTTTAAATTCTTATTTATTGGGATAATAATTGTAAGAAGAAAGACACTCTGCATTTGTTTTTTTTAATTCTTCTAAATTTTAATGTAAATATGTGTAGATCTTTGCACAAAAGAATCTAAATATCAAATGAAGATTATCATCATAAAACTTGAATGTCACAACGATAACCTATAACACGGTATTGTGGAATATATATATATATAATGTAGATGAGAATCCATAAAAAATAGCAGTACCTTGACAGTGAAATTTTAAAAATCTGATACACAAGTTTTGATTGTTTTATACCAGATTAATCGATAGAAAAATCTAGTGTTAGTCTCTCAGTTGATCCAACGTTCTTTTGAAAGCGTTTACTCATAGTGCTTCAATGACGTACTAATGTAATGAACTCGATACTGCTTGTCAGAACGAATCCAGCTTCCGTAGAGATATACAAAAAGCGTCTTGCGAATAATGTTTTTCAAATTCTTACAAGCAAGCTCTTTAGGCTCACTGTTCAATAATTCTCATACTTGAGTATCGTAACTGTCTTGAAGTCAGGACCCACCATACCGCTCTTACAGACTTTTGGTAATCAAACCTGGGCTACGGACAGAATAAAACATTTAACTCAAGAGATTTGCGACGAAATTTGCCAGTGGTTTCAGTAACATAGGTTGCATTGCATTGAGCCTCATGGATTCGCCTATATCAAGCTCATTAATCTGGCCAAGGACATCGTGTTCTATAATGAATACAGTGTATGGTGTTAATTTATGTGGAGGTGCTTGTATGAATTTAAAGAGAGGGCATTTATACGATACAAATATTGCTGAAGTAATTTGAGAATACCTGAGCTTTACCATAATCGTCCTTCACTAATGATGCAGTGTTACAGTCTCCCCATAATGCTGGGAAATTTCCTCTTCTCGTGTTATTTCAATTTATGTAAGTGTATAAGCAACTATCGAATTCTATAGATTCTTAAACAGTTTTTCTTTTTCTACAACCTTCTTAACCTGTAGAGGGCCGATGCACAATATTTCGAGCTTCCTGTCTTGTCAGTACCCAGTAACCTAAATCTCCCCCACACCCTTCTCTTACGTAGAAGGATGCAAACCTCTTATCCAAATCACGATGGGGAGTTTCTCAAACCGCTCGGTATAATCATAGGGATGTGAGCTGCAGTGACTTTTAAGTATAAGGTTCTGAGTACATCTCATACCGTTTCATAGGTAAATTCTGGTTCCAAAGCTAACAAAATAAAATGAATTCATATTATTCTGCACCTACCTTTGTTCTTGCTCTCTTTAAAATAATAAAGGGAACTATGTGTATGAAGTATTAAGGATGCTTAGAGTATAATATCTTGTGTATTTGCCTTCATGACGTTTGATCTGTCTTGAACTGATGCGTGCTCATTATTGCCGATTACACTAAAATCAAAGATTAGAACTGAATATTCATTCTTATCTAGGGGCGGCACATGATGGTAGTTTGTGACATCATCTTCATAATGGGAGAATATAAGATCTTGTAGGAATGGTTCGAAGTCCTGGTTGTACCTAGTTGCTTCTTCGATATGTTGCACTGGGGCACATGTAATAATCGCCTCAACTTCTTTGCGTCTAAAAGAATACTGACAACTTATTCCTGAGTCCACTGTGGGTGCAACAAATCCTCTTAGGATTAAGCATTGACCACTTGATGACCAAGTGTTGAGACTGTATCGCAAGACCTCATTTCCCTCAGTTTGGACTTCAGTAGACCAAATTAACCAACAACTCTTGTCCTTTGCGTTTCAAGCTGCAATTAACTATTTCACTTTTTCCAGTTTCGTGAGATGTACTGTTGATAAAGTTAGATGAGATAGCTACCCCTTCAATATGCTTCTGAGTTCTGTTGGCTCTTACCGATATCCAACCTTCAAAACCACGTTCTCTACTGTATTCAGACCGCGTAAGCCAAGTTTCTCTGACAGCGGTTACGTACGGATAGGTAGAGTTTATCGACATCATTCTCTGTCGAAGCCTCTTTACCAAAGAATTTACAATCTTATGGTGCTTCTCGCCAGTATTTAAAGTTAGTTTTGGTTCGTTTTCAGCTTCTCGTTTTTTTATAAGATTCACGAGCGGCAAGTCTTCATGGATAAACATTCCTGACCTCCTTAGTTTATGTCCACTAATGATGCAGTGTTACAGTCTCCCCATAATGCTGGAACATTTCCTCTTCTCTTGGTACTTTGGTATATATAAGAGTATAAGCGTCTGTGGTATTCTATAGATTCCTCAACAAGCTTTTCTTCGTATAACCTTATATATACCTGAATGGTCGAGTGGACTGTATGTATAAACTAATGACTGCCTGATTTCGAATATCTAATACACTCAATCCTGTTCATATAATACTTCTTGGTTAAAGTGAATTATTTCTGAGATCTTTAGTTTGTGTAATAATTCAAATACTTCTGCTCATCACAGTCGAGGCATAAATGTTTCGAGTGTGGCGTGGTGTCGAATGGCGCTTGACTATGAACACCACTACAAGAAGACTACGTGCCAGTTAACCAATAAGATCCCCGTAGGCCAATATCAGAAGACAGATGATGGCTGTAGGCGAGATGTATTTGTTGGCGATCTCGTGGTATCGAAAGAATACCGAGATGGTGCCAAAGGAGTACAAGCGTGAATACTAAGCGTAACCGAATTCGTACAAGTTCATAGTCAACGGGAGAGAGAGTAATCACTGTCATTAGTACAGTTAAACAAACGAGTACAGTAAAACAATCAGTGGTACAATTGGTTATAATAATAATCGTTTTCAATGAACTAATCGCGTTCTGTTGACAAAAGTAGGTCACTACACGAGCATCACAACATTGAGGTTTTATCACGTCAGAGCCCAGTAATCTAAATCTCGCATGAACTGGTTCGTATGACAGTTACCATATTCTGTTTTTCCAGATTATCCTGTAATATGGTTCTTCCATATAGTAACCAAAGTATGTGGATGTCACGATAAGGTGTTAACCGCGAAGTGATACTTCAACGAAAATATGGTTCAACCATTCCCACTCAACTCGAGTAGACTTCAGTTACTGACACAGATTACTAACCTTGGTGATTTACATGTTCATAGATTGTGCTGAGTTCTGCAAATGAAGAGTCGACATGTATTTTCATTTTGCGATATCAGTAACAACCATTTTACATGTCATTCGTAAGTTACTACTTTGAAATTTAATCAATGTTTTTTCGAATGTGCTACAGAAAGTTTTAAGTATCATAGTAGTTATGAGAGCTCTTCTGATACATACAAACTCAGATACCATCGTACTAACAGATCACAGCTTCTTTCTGTTGAATTTGAAACTAGATTATTTAGGTTTAAAGATAAGTATGGTTCCGATTGATAAGTCTTAATAAAACAATTCATAAAGCTTTCATCCATTTAAATGAAGATGAGACAAGTGTTTGAAGTTTGACAACGCTTTAACCAGTAACATCTATTAGGAATCATGTCCACCCAGTGAGACCAGAAGTCATAAGCGAAGAGGTTCGAGGATATACTTGGTAGGCTATGAATTTACCGAAAAGCGACTGATCTAAAATGATAAGCGATTGCAGGAGAAGTTAAGCATCAAATGTCGAGGACTTACAGAGCTATTGATTTAAAGGATTTATTTACTGCTACATTTACATCACTTTGAGATTATGCTTGTCGCATGCTGAGAAGTGAATGAACTATTTGATGATGCCAATACTCCACACATTACTGGAAGTGATTATAGGTGGCCTCTTAAGCAATTATATCTACATTTTTAGCGTGTTTGACATATATCTATAACCCCGATTTTATGGTCAATATCGGCACGGAAACGTAAGCTCGCTTTTCAATTTTTGCGTTTGCTTTGTCGATCTGTGAAGGTCAGGTGCAGTTTATTTTGTGCTATTCCATTATCTTAAACAGTTGTACGGCATATAACCAAATAACTTTTCATGGCGTAAAATCACTCTTTCGCTGTCTTCTGTAGGGCCAATCGGCAATCTTTGCCTTATTCATCCTTTTTAAGGAATCTTGTAACAATATGTAATTGATACCTTTTACAATTACGTACATGCATAGTATCTTTACACTATCAGTGATCAGATAGTTAAGAAGTTTATTTCTGACTTATGGAGCTTATGGAGAACATTCCTCCTGGGTTTGTTGTTAGCATCATGGTCAATTTGTGAACTGTGTGGATTGTGTTCCCTATTGTAACATTGTGTTGTAAACTGCAATTGGGCTAGATACTGATGAATGAAAGTCATTTCAACTTGTCTGATAATGTGCACTAACTGCAATGACCAATGACTCACATTTCAAAAGAAATCTAAGCAATTATGTCAGAAATGGTCTTTAGTAAACATTGTTTCTGACGGGTTCCGATCCGTTTTACAATGTCTTTAGTCACTATTCCTGGGTTTCAAGTAAACACCAACTGGGAAGTCTACGTCAAGATGATTTGTGCATATAGTCAGTAGTCTTGTGACCTTAACCCGCTTCTCAGTTTGACCGCCGCCAACTTGTTTCCAACTTATTCCTGCACTAAGCAATTCCATGCATTAATGTAGACTAAGGTTTGTACCACGTAATACTTATCCCAGCCATCACAATCTATCTTGATTCGCCAAGTTTTAATCAGTAATTAGTTTTTAATCTATGACGTTTGTTTATATCTATTATAAGACTTTTCTCTTTAGTGTTGGTCTTTCATCTACTTATCAAAGTCAATTTACTCTCAGATGTATTATCTTCTATGCTCATTTCCTCTATAGTGTTTTCTATCCAGAGAAATCTTCAGACGACGATGAAGCTATTCTCATTACAGATACTTTATAAAACTGATACATCAGCTAAATTATTACAAGCTTCACATGAACTATCGGACTTCGGTTATTTTCAGCGATCCAGTGTTCGAGAATTTATGGACTTTACTGCTAAGGTGGTGTGTGAACGAACAGCTCGTTGTCAGCGTGTACAAATTAAACAACAAGGTTTATTTTATGTGTAATATTTAACTTACCTTTGGATAGATTATATTTGTCATGTTTATGTCCGTCATGATAATCTATGTGGTGTACTAATTTGTGACCAAG